CAGATGGTTGTCTGTAAAGCAATAATAAGGATGGCAGCTCTGCACAGCTGAGCTGTGATGACGTAGAGCGTCATACATGAGGCACTCAGCCCTGGGCCTGGCACCAAGAAAGTGCTCATTCAGCATTAATCACCTCCTACCTCCATCCACCCCAGGAAAAATGAAATCCTAAGCCAGCCAAAGGCGGGTTCCAATAAAAACATCTCACTCTACCCGGAGCAGAACTCAGCTCTCCCGGCCCAAGCTGGCAGGCACATCCCTGGCAGAAAAAGGCTTTCCAGAGGGCCGCACCTGTTGTGACTGAAGGGAAGGTCTGGGCCAAGGGAGCAGCCACAGCAGGTGGCCCTGCGCGTGGGGAGAGACTGGTCCCCACTGGGGGCTGGCACAGGGGCCCAGGCCAGCTGAAGCCCCTGAGGTTAGATCCTAGGAAGTCCTGCCCCTGCTGAGTGGGCCTGCAGCCCCCACTCTGCTTGTTCTCACCTGGGAGTATGTACCAATGATCCCCACAGCTGGCGCTGTGGTCTCACCCTGTGACTGGCACTGTTCTAAACATGTCTCCTGAATTAAGTCAAGGTAATCCTCATGATGATGCCCCAAGAGCTTCCTGTCATTGTTCTGCTTATGCAGGTGAGGAAGCTGAGGCTCAAGTGAAGTTGATGTACAAAAGCCACCCAAGGACAGAAGCTGGCCCTACCACTGCTATTGTTTATTATTATTATTATTATTATTATTATTACTGCACCAACAGATTTAGATGGACCTAGAGGGGAGGGATGGTGTCCCAAAAGGAACAGGATCATCATCACACTCAAGGAGGTATCATGGAAGGAAGGAAGCAGTCTGGTTCAGTGTCCCATATTTGGGGGAAACTGAAATCAGTGAAGAGCTTTCTCCCCATCAGTGCTGTCTTTAACTTGACAAGGAGTGACTTGTCACTGAAGGGACTTGGCAGAGGGGCTCTGGACTGGGGCAGGTTGCTCGCCTCAAGGAAGGAGGATCCTCACCCATTGGAGGGTGGTGTCCTGGGACCCTGCAAGGCTGCCTATAGCAACACCTGACGTTGTTGTGTTTAGGGATGGCGGCAGGAAGCCAGTGTAACTGGAGAGGGACAGAAGGGTAAGAAGGTGTGGGGCCAGGAATGTGGGCAGAGGACTGGCTAAGAAGGTTGGGCCCTGGCCTCCCCATCCTTAGTGGGCGGTCCACGGCCACCCTTGCCGCCCAGCCTGGCCAGCCACCTGCTTTGGGAATGGATAAGTTACCCCTCACCCCATCTTCTTGCAGGGGTCCGGACGGGGAGTTAAGGGCATGGGAGGAGCATCTCTACCCTGAAGCACCTGGCTCACCTTTTTCTGAACAAAGTCCATGATGTTTTTGAAGTCCAGATCGTCATAGTAGTTCTCAATTCCTCTTCGAATGTTGTCATTCAGGAAGTCAATGGTCTATTCAGAGGGAGAAATTACAAAGGAAAAGAACCACACACTCCCAGAGTCCATCCCAAGATTTCCCAGAAGCCTGGATGGGTAGAGAAAGCCCTGCCAGCATGGGGCGCCCCCTCCACTCCCCACCCTGAACACCTGCCCGCTACCTCCCTGCCCACACATCCTCCCATGCCTCCAGTGCTCAGCTGATGCCTGAGTCTCTGTGCTATGTCCCAGCAGGAGTAATTCACTCCACTCCCTTTACAGACCAGACAGCCCAGGCCTTGAGAGGCTGCGGCCATGCTTGGGGACACACAGCTCTGATGCAGCCATGCCTGAGCTGAGACTTGGCTGTCCTGGTTCCAGACCGGTGCTCTTTCTACCGCCCAGGATGGGCCCACACTGAAATCCTCCCTTTGCCCTCCAGAGCCCCTCTCCACACTCCTCTACCATCCAACGTCTTGTTTTACAGATGAGGAGACTGAGGCTTGGGGAGGGAGTGAGGTCACAGAGCAGGCTGGGTGGGGTCTTGCCAGGGCTGGAATTCGGGTCTGCTGATCTCCCTCAGGGGCTGCCCTCTTCATCACTGCAGCGCTCAGTCCCCCTCGGCTGGGGCTGGGACAGTCCCCGCCCAGAGGAACATGGCAGGCCGCCCTCTCCCAGCCACGCTGCACTTTCTGGATCAATAGCCCAGCTGTTGTGCTGAGATCCGAGAGCACAAAGGGCCCCACAGTAGGAAGGGGTGGGGGCAGGAACGTGGGCAGCCCAGCTCACTGCGACAATCGCAGCTTTCAGAGCACGGAGGTCGAGTATCACAGAGACTGCAGACAGAGAGGGCATTCTCGGCTCTGGGGCCGGACAGAAGAGCCAGACAATTCCTGGGGGTGGCACCACAGGGTACGCTGGGACAACAGAATCCTGGCTCCAGGCCCCATCACAGCTCACTTCTCCTCTCTGGGCCTCAGCTTCCCCACTGTGAACCTCTAGGCCTGTCTTTAAGGTAACTTCCAGCTCTGAGGATCAAAAACCAAGTCCCAGAGGGGCTGTCAAGCCTCATAATCAAGGACACCGTCCCTGCAGCGACCCAGGCATCAGCTACTTCTTTTAACTTCTGAGCCTCTGTTTGCTTACCCACAAAATCAGGAGGAAAACACTCTCTGCCTCATAGAAATGTTGTGAGATTTCAATAAAAAGCTGCGAAGGTGTTTAGCAGGACACCAGGCATATCGTAGTCCTGGTGTTATTATTCTAGATTTGCGTCTATTCTTCCAGGAGACAAATACCCTCTGGCACTATGTCACACCCACATCATTGGTGGAAAACAAATCCAATGGGAAACTGAGGCCCCAACTCTTGTTCAAAAAACTGACTGCAATCGAGGCAGCCTCTAGGGCACAAATTCTGGCCCCTACTGTCACAAATATTTTGCAGCCCAGAGTGGGGTGGCTGGTCCAAGGTCACCCAGCTCGTCACTAGCAAAGAGACGCCGGGACCAGGGTGTTAACCAGCCTGACACACTTGAAGGTGCTAAGATAAGAAACCAAGGTTCAGTTTTGGGGCCATCTCCCAAAATTATCTCCAGGATCAGGAAAAGAGGAACAAAGACTACAGCACCCAGTTCCCCACTGAGCCTCCCTCTGCTCAAAGCCAAGGTAAAGAAGGAGATGGGCTCAGGGAAACCGGCCTCCCTGGCCAGAAGGAAAGCCCTCTGCTGATGATAAACAGCAGCCCTGGAATGGGCCTGGGACTACAGAAGACTGGAGATAGCCCGAAGAGAAGAGAGGAGATGCAGGCTTCTGTGAGCAGCTCTCAACTCACCAGCCCATGGCCCTTCGAGGGCCTGGCACTAGGCCCCAGGGCAGAAGTTGGGTGGGAGGATTGCCTTCCAGCTAAGCAGCTCAGGCAGAACAAGGACTGTCGTGGCCCCAGGTCCACCCTCCCAGATGCCCCCAGGTCATGAAGCTTTTCCACACTTGGGTGCCTGCTCCTCTGGGTGATGAAGGGACAGGACAGCTGGCTGGGATATGGTTGAGGGTGCCTAAAAAAAAGGACACCAGGGTGGGGCCAGTCTGCCAGCCAGGGTGGGGCAGAGGAATGAGCTCACAGCATGGAACGGCACCCTGGGCTGAGCTACGTACACATGGGGTTCCGCCAGGGTCAGGGCCTTACCGAAGGCCACATGTCGGGAGGTTCCTGCCAGGTGGCTTCCCCCTACTCCGGAGGCAACATAGACACAGTGCTGGCCCACCATGTCCCTCTGCACCTGCCCTGGCCCACTGGCCTACTCACAACACCCCCACTGGCCACTATGCTGTTCGGACTCCCCCAGAGCTGGCAAGTGGGTGGGATGAAGGTGGGAAGCCCAGGGCAGGAAGGAAGAGAAGCAGCAGAGTAGAGTCTGCCCTGTGGCCATGGGGAAAGGCTCTGGCTCTCTGCTGAGCAGCCCCAGCCTGCCTCCCCAAACCCTCCCGGTGCCTGGGCACTTTCCAAGGTTCGATTTCGAGAGGGGCCTCTGAAAATTAGGCCTTCCATCTGGTAAGCTGAACCCAGTTGCTGCGGAAAGGGCGGCCCCGATGGAGGCCTCTCTGAGTGGGCAGGAGCGACAGATGTCCCTGGGCTTCATGGACAGCAGCTGCCCCCAACGCCCGTCAGGGAGCTCTTTGGGGCTCTTGCAAGTATGCGCTACTTGTGCATGTGTGCACGTGTGCATGTGTGCCAGGAGATGAGGAGGACACTGGGATGGTTCCGTGGGGGTAATGGGGGGTGGGGGGTGTGCATGACAAGATCCCATGAGGTGAGCTGGCTGTGCAGTTTACCTGTAAAGTGCTATGCCAACACTGACAGCACTGGTAACATTCAGAGACACCAGGGAGCCACTCAGAGGACAGGAAAGAATTCTAGCTTCCTCTGCCATTCCCAGAGGCCCAATGTACCCAGTACCACCGCCCCCACCCCATTCCCCTCTAAACCAGGCCATGCCAGCAGAGGCAGCTCTAGTGAGGACTAAACCAGGCTAAATTAAGCAAAGAGTAAGCAAACATCAAAGGCCACAGGGTTTGAAAGCATGTTGTTTAAAGCACCAGAGAAAGCTATGAAGAACTGTCCTTTCTAGCTTTGTCTTTTAAATCTAGTTTTAAAGATATCTGAAGCCTACACATCACCTCTCTCTCAGGGTTTTTTAATGAATGAAGAATTGAAGGGAGCGGGGCATGTGGCGGCATCTCCTCCAGCACAGAGGCCAGAGGGATAGAAAAAGGAGTGGAGGGGCCAGCGGCTGGAGCCTCCCACCAGGCCAGCTGCCTGCACAGGACCAAGACCCCCTCTGAGAAAGGAGCAGCCTGGGGCTTCTCCAGGCTGCCTCTGGCTAACACCGCTTCCACGCAGACTGAGACCTGAGGCTGGGAAGGCCCTGCTGCTGGCCTAGTGCAGACCTAGTTCTCAAACTTGGAGGACGAGCTGGTCACAGTGGCTGCTGCCTATAATCCCACTACTTTGGGATGCCGAGGCAGGAAGATCACTTGAGTCCAGGAGTTCGAGACCAGCCTGGGCAATATGACGAGGCCTCATCTCCACCAATCAATCAATCAATCAATCAATATCCAGGCATGGTGGCATGCACCTGTAATCCCAACTATTCAGGAGGCTGAGGGTGGGAGGATCGCTTGAGCCTGGGAGCTGAGGCTGCAATGAGCTGTGGGTACACAACTGTACTCCAGCCTGAGTGACAGAGCAAGGCCCTGTCTCAGAAACAAAACAATATAAAAACTTGGAGGAGAGGTGCGTGGCCTAGGATTTTCCTCCTTCCTTTTTGCCTGGGGCCGAGCCATCATCTTAGCCTTTCCCCTGTCCCTCTAGAATGGGGACTTGTTCTCATTGACCCCACACCCTAGCCTCTGCTCCAGTCCCAGTAGAAGCCCAATCTGCCAACCTGGAGTGGAAGAGAACCAGGGAGCCAGAAGAAAAGAGTACGTGGGAAGGGGCATGTGCAGTGAGCAGCTCCCAGACCCTTCCTCAGACCTGGCCGGAGTCACAGGTTCATAACCATGGTGGGGGAGCGTTGTGTTTCAGTGTCCCTGGGACTGGGGGCTCCAGCCTCACTCCCCAACGGCCGTCCACAGTGGGGCACACCTCGGGGGGTGTCTGGCCAGACCAGCAAGGAGCACTCTCTACTTCTAGACGGCCAGCAGTTCTGCTATAGGTGGGCAGGATACACAGCTGGCCCTCCACATCCATGGGTTCTGTACCCGCAGATTTGAACAACAGTGGATAGAAAATATTTGGGAAAAAGGAGCAATAAAAATAACACAACAGTAAAAAATAATACAAATTAAAGAACAATGTACCATAAACAACTTTCTACACAGCTTTTACACCGTATTAGGTATTTGGTTTTCTTGTTTTGTTTTGTTTTTTTGAGACAGAGTCTCGCTCTGTCGCCCAGGCTGGATGGAATGCAGTGGCGTGATCTTGGCTCACTGCAGCCTCCACCTCCCAGGTTCAAGTGATTCTCTTGCCTCAGCCTCCCATAGTAGCTGGGATTACAGGTGTCCACTGCCATGCCTGGCTAATTTTTGTATTTTTACTAGAGATGGGGTTTCACTATGTTGGTCAGGCATCTCGAACTCCTGACCTCAAATGATCCACCTGCCTCAGCCACCCAAAGTGATCTGGGATTACAGGTGTGAACCACCACACCTGGCCCTGTATTAGGTATTTATAAGTAATCTAGAAGTGATTTACGGGAGGATGAGTGCAGATTATATTCAAGTACTACACCATTTTACATAAAGGACTTGAGCATGCATGGATTTGGGTACCCTTTGGTGGGAGGGGCACGTCCTGGAGCCAATCCTCCTTGGACACCAAGGGCAACTGTATATATTCAGGTGCTTGGCTGAGAGAGCCCTGGTGCCACCTACTTTCTCCTGCCTCTGGCCTCAAGGTTGTGCCCTGAGCCAGCTTGTGCCAGTGCCAGGATAAAATAGGCAGGCTGGTGCTCCCTGCTGACCACACTGTCAGGTAGGACCACAACGCCCACTAATCCTGCCCTGATAGTAGAGAGGAGGCTGAGATGGGGGTATAGACACACCCACTAGTGCCCAGACCCTCCAAGTGCCCACATTCAGCTGCATGTGGCTGGGAGCATGAGGAGCTGCCCACCTCTGACACCTGACACCCTCAGAAGAAGCCCCAGAACAAGCTGGGACAAGAGCAGGGGTCAAGAGGGCTGAGACCCAGACAGCTGGGGAAGTCGCTCAGTCCTCCTCCAGCCCCTGGCTGGGGTCAGGGCGTCATACTTCCCCTGCTCCCAAGGCCTGCTCTGTGCCCAGATCCCCAGTGCACGGCCACTTGCCCCTGTATCAGTGGAGAAGCTGCCCCAGTCCAACTGTCAGGCCACGCTGGCAGCAGAAACCTTGCCCAGGGTCAGGGGCTGGGGGAGATTTTTCCTTATATCCAGGAGTCTGTTTAGCTGGCCATAAACTGGGCCTGGGCTCCAGCCAGGAAAGCACTAACCCATAGCCCCTGGAAAGCCACAAGCTGGCCAGAAGCTCTGCTGTCTGCACAGAGAGGCTGCCCCACGGGCAAATGGAATAAAGATTTCTCCCCTGAAGATGCTGGAAAGAGAAGCAGCATCTGGATCTGCCAGCTCCAAGCAGAGGCTCTGACAAGCAGAAAAGAGGCAAAAAGAGGGGCAGGTAGAATAGAGGAAAAGGGAGAAGCAGCCCCATGGACAAATGGAATAAAGCCCGTTTCCTAAGACTCATAAAACAGGAAGTCCCCTGGACTCCAGGGGTATAGACTTGCCTGTGGTTAGGTCCCACTGCAGGAGGCCCCGGCAGAACAGGTGTGGTCCCTGCTCCCACCTGGGCTAGAATGACAGGCACTCCCATGAACATTTTCACAGGGCCAGAACCTGGGCCATCTGAGAGCTCTGCACAACCCAGAGTGTGGGACAGCACCTGCTGCCTTGACAGCAACTGCTGACAAGAAAAATAATTTGTCTGGGTATAGGGTGCACGCCTGTAGTCCCAGCTACTTGGGAGGCTAAGGCCGGAGGATCGCTTGAGCCCAGGGGTTCCAGGCTGTGGTGAGCTATGATCGCACCACTGCTCTAGCCTGGGCGACAGAGACTCTACCTCAAAAAAATAAATAATTTTTTTTTAAAAAAGATAATTTGGCCCACGGTCCTGATGCATGTCTCAGCAGTGACTGTCGATGCACCAGAACCAAGCTGTCTGGGGTGGGGAGGGGTGCAGGCTGGGCAGTGGACACAGGGAATGGGGCTTCTGCAAACATGCCCTGCTCTTCAAGCCCCGCCTATGGCAGCAATATAGGATGAGGCCAAAGGAAGATTATGGGAGGAAGACGGAGCCCTGGGTTGGAGTCTGCCCTGCTCCACCACCAGCTTCTTGTGGGGCCTTGACCACGATATGCCAGAACCATGCCCACTCCTTCACATGCATTCTCTCACCAAATCTGTGAGCTCGTAGGTGTCGCCTACTAATCCAAGAGGCCAGGTAACTTGCCCAAGGTGGCACAGCTAGTATGAGGCGCGTACATCCTGCCTGAAGGAGCTGAGGACCGGGAGCCACGAGAACCTTTCCAGCTCTAAGGGGCCCTGATTCTGCAAGCCCTGCCAGGGCCGGGACGCCAGGCATCACCCTGTCAACCTGCCCCTCCCCTCACTCCTCTAGCCAGCAAACGGCCTCTGCCAGTACTGCCTCCGAAACATACAACAAATCGCCTTTTTGGCCCAGCCCCACCGCTTCCACCTCGGTCCAAGCCGTCTTACCCCATTTCCAGGATGGCCCCCACAGCCTCCCAGCTGGGCCCCCAGTTAAATTCTCAACTCCCCACTGTCCATTCCTCAACTCAGCAGCCAGGGTCAAATATAAACTGGGTCACATCACTTCCCACATAAGACTCTCCAATGGCTCCTATCACCTCTAGGCTCCTAACTCATGGCCTACAAGGACCTCTGTGACCTACCTCGCCAGCCCTTTCGACTTCACCCTCCGCCCCTCTCCACCTCACCCTCCCTCAGCCACGTGGCCTCCACACTGTTTTGCTCACATGCCAAGCTCATTTCTGCTCAGCTTCCCTCTGCTGGGACCTCACTCAGCGGGCAACTTTCACCACTTCAGCACGGTCTTCCCATCTCCTCCCCAGGCACTCTCACGTCAGCCTGGTTCATTTTCTTAGTCGCCGCTTTACTTGTTCAGTGCCCATCATTCTCAGGGCAGGTTATCTGCCCTGCTCACTGCTGCACCCACAGTTAACAGCCCAAGGCACCCACAGTGGGTGCTCCATATATTCGTGGCCAATACACAAATCCACAGGCCTACCTGGTTCCGGAAGATCAAGGCCACCACACCACCAATGAGCTCCATGATGAGGCAGATCCCCAGGATGTACATGAACTGGAAAAGAGAATTCAGAGACTCACCTGGAGCAGGGCAGAGGGCGCGCTATCTGCAGGGCACTGGAAAATGACAAATCGAGTGGCCTTGCAGCAGTGCACTAGAAACCAGAACTGCTGCCCATCATGGGAGGATGGTTTATGAAGACCATGCAAGCACACAGAGAAGCGTCCCTGGGGAGCTCCTATCCGCTCCCGCGTCTCCGCCCCTTCCTCCTATAAGAACGTGGACGTGGACAGGCATGCCCCAGGGAAACCCACCTCTGGAGCCAAAGGGCAGGACTCAGCTGTCCCAGCCAGAGCCTTACTTCCATTTGTCCCAGGGGTCTATGTGGAAGAGCATGCCCTTCCCCCACCACGATGAGGGGAGCTGGGCCTCACTGCCACTGAGCTAGAGGGGCCAGGCCTGGCTTAATGGGCAGACTGGGGCAGTATTTCCAGCTCCCCACAGAGACCCCTCAGATATGACTTCCCAGATCCCCCAGAGTGGGTGAGGGGGATGCCTGAAGCTTAGAGGATATGCATCTCACCTCTGCCCTTTACTAGAGAGCAGCCATTGTCCAAACTGATTTCAGCAACTTCCAGCCTCAAGCAGCACCGAAACCCTTCTGGTAGGGGATTCCCGTGTGAGGAGAGACAGTGAGGTCAAGAGACACATGAGCGCAGAGTAAGGGATCTGCCTCCTCACTACCCCCAGCTCTGCGGAGTCATCCCTCACTCCACAATGGGATGCAGGTAGGGTTGACTCCCCATGCCCCATCCCAGAATGGGCACATGGCCCAAGCCAGGCCCACCAGAGTATTGGGACTTTGGCCAGAGCTGGTAGGAAGGATTCCCTGGGATCTAGAACCATAAGAACTCTGCTAGCCCAAGGCAGGCCGTGACTACTGCAAAGGGAGCAGCCCCCGCTGGGAGGGGCTGGGGAGACTGCCCAACCCTGCCCAGGGGCGCCATCTAAACCTCTGGACCCAATGTGGGTTTGCTGGTTGTATGAGCTAACAACTCACCACCACCTCCTTTTGTTGTCTTTGCTTGCTCTCATTTGAGTGTGGTTTTTCCTACTTGCAACTGAGGGTCCCGATGAACACAGAGTTTAAGTAAGAACAGTATTCAAATCAGCTTTTACATGCAGAAAGGGAGGTGGCCTGGGCACTCTTAGGCCAATGCTGTCAGATGGGCTGATCTAAGAAACTCTCTAGAGGAGCCGGTTTGAGGCAGGGACAAAAGAAACTGAGCTACCCAAGGGCACACAGGCAGGCACCCCAGCTCTCCTGGGGAGTCCCAGCTGAGGGGTGGTGCGGTCCACTCACTGCTTGGAGAAGGAACAGGTTGTCACGGAGGGATGCCAGCACACCAATGAAGGACACCATGAACATGACGACGCCCAGGAGGATGAGGATGATGGCCGGAGCCAGGAAGGCACTTTCGAGGGTTTTATATTTCTGCCGCTCGACCTCTGCATAGATCCCCACGGACAGGACCAGGGCCCCGATCAGCTGTAGCAAGAAAACAGAGGGTGAGAGAGAGACTGAGGTCACTTGATTCTCCTGCAAAGATCTGGGGCTGTGGTACCTGCTGTGGGGGAGGCTTGTCCTAAGTTATAACACAGAAAGGGCCCTGTAAGGGGCTGAACTGTGTTTCCCCAAAATTCCTCTATTGAAATCCTAACCCCCAGTACCTCAAAATGTGACTCTATTTGGAGACAGGGCTCTTAAAGAACTAATTAAAGTCAAAATGAGGTCACCAAGGTGGCCCTAATCCAATATGACTGGTGTCCTTATAAGAGGAAGAGATTCCCCCTCCCCAGACCTTGGCGACAGGACCGCACAGGATGGGGCGGGGAAATAATAAAAAATAAATAAATAAATAAGAGGAAGAGATTAAAACAGACATGCACAGAGGGAAGACCGTGTGAACACACAGGGGAAGGCAGTGTTTACAAGCAAGAGAGGCCTCGGAAGAAATCAACCCTGCCACCTTGATCTTGGACTTCTAACCTCCAAAACTGTAAGAAAATAAATGTCTGTTATTTGGGTCATTCAAGTCTGGTACTTGATGTTATGGCAGCCCAAGCAGACTACTACAGACCCAGTGTGGAGATGCCACTTTAGAGGACAGTAAACATCGCTTCTCAGCATTTTGGCTAAGATCAAGTGTAGAGAGTATAGATGGGTTGGGGGAAATGCTGCTGGCTGGAGGGTCCGAGAACATGGGTTCGAGCCCCAGCTCCACTACTGGTGAACCCTTGGCTTTGGACAGGCATTTGACCATGTGAGTCTGTGTCCTCATCTGAAAGACGGGCATGAAGACATTCACTTCTGCACTGCTCACACCACGGCTTTCACGAGAGAATGAACGTGGAGACACTACAAACCCAAAAGTACAAGGCCGTGTAATGCATATGAAACAGGCAGGTCATCCAAAGGAAATTCTGGAAGTGCTCAAGGGGACAGACATTTCACACAGTACCATAATATAGAATTTACTTTCAGGATGACCTCTGAGAAGGCTAAAGGTTGGAGCAGATGGAATTTTGAGGGAATTTGCCAGTAGAATCCCTCATTCTCAACTGTTCTTTTTTTTTTTTTTCAATATGGGGTTTCACCATGATGGCCAGGCTGGTCTTGAACTACTGACCTCAGGTGATCCACCCACCTCGGCCTCCCAAAGTGCTGGGATTACAGGAGTGAGCTACCACACCCAGCCATTCTCAACTTTTCTAACAGTAGAAATACTGCTTTAGAACACTCCGTAACTTTCCACCAGGAAAACCCAGGCTCCTTGCTGCTTGTCAACTGCCCACACCAGGGTGTGCAGGTGTGCCCACCCCAGGGCCTTTGCACAGGCAGTTCTGACTGCCCCAGACCCCCGCATGGCTCACTCTCCCACCTCCTTCTCTTCTTCGTTCAGTTGCCACCTGCTCAGGGGGCCCTTCAGAGCCAATTTATTTACAGGTAGAAAGTCCCTCCCTGTGAAACTCCTGATCTCCTTTCTCTTTTTTATTTTCTCCTTTGCACTACCAGTATTTAACATACTACACTATTTCTGTTTTGTTTTGTTTTTTTAATCTGTCTTTCTCACTAAAACATAAGCTGCAGGAGGGATTTTTCGGTTGCTTCAGGCATCCCCAGCACCCAGACATCCTGACACTGAGAAAGTATTATCAGCATTTATGATCAACGTCTGCTGAATGAACAAGGCCTGGACTTTCCAACAGACCCTTTGAGTTCAAGTCAGGCACTGTCTACCCAGTCCTCTGCCTGTCCAAGGATTCTGACTTTCTGGGCCACATGTTCTGGAGGACAGGGACAAATCATCAGATAACTGGACTTCTCCACTAAGCTGAAGGCAGCATGGGAGAGTGAGTGGAAGACATGGCGCTGTCAGCTAGGGTCCAAGGAAAGGAAGAGACGATGCAGACAGATGTTGGCGGGAGGTGGCATGAGCATAGTCACCCCAGTGTCACCACACGGAACACCAAGCAGGCCGCCCCTCCAGCCAATCACAGAGCTGCCTGAGCCTTAAACTGACTTCATGGGTCTCCTTACCTATCATCATGTCCTCAAGTAGATGCCCGTGACCTCCTTCTAAAGAGGGCTAAGTCCTGAGTAAAGGGAAGTGACTGCCTCCTCCTAAGCTTGGATGCGTGACAGGGATGCCAAAAGTCAAACAAGCAGACCGAGCTTATGCAGAAACACTGGATAACAGAGGATTACCAAGAAATCATCTCATTTGGATCCAGTACTCTGCTATGTTTCCAGGCTAAGTGCCATTCTCCTCGGTTTGAAAAGTTAATCCGGGATTACTGAGACCCTTCCCCCAAATCTAGAAGGATGCCTTTCCAACACACAGGCCAGGAGGGGCTCAAGACACTGACAGCTCGGCCACCAGCCACTTACTAACAAGTTAGCTTTATAAGGCAGGACACACACACACACACACACACACACACACACACACACACACACACGTACTCACTCCCTATAGGAAAAGGGAGACCATGAAAAATACCTACTTTTGGTAGAGAAAGGCAAACCAGAGACTAATTGGTCAGTCATGCTGCAAAACCCAAAACATGGAGAAATCACTGAGGATGGCCTAAGTGCCCCAGGTCCTCGGAGAGCAATGGTGAGTAGCCTTTAAAAAGCCAAGGCTGGCCAGGCACGGTGGCTCACACCTGTAATCCCAGCACTTTGGGAGGCTGAGGCGGTTGGATCACCTGAGGTCAGGAGATCAATACCAGCCGGAACAACATGGTGAAACGCTGTCTCTACTAAAAATACCAAAAATTAGCCAGGCATAGTAGTGGGTGCCTGTAATCCCAGCTACTCGGGAGGCTGAGACAGAAGAATCGCCTGAACATGGGAGTCAGAGGTTGCAGTGAGCCGAGATCATGCCATTGCATTCCAGCCTCGGCAGCAAGAGCAAAACTCCATCTCAAAAAAAAAAAAAAAAAAAAGCCAAGTCCAAGCTGGGCAAGGTGGCTGATGGCTATAATCCCAGCACTTTGGGAGGCTAAGGTGGGCAGATCACTTCAGGCCAAGAGTTCGAGACCAGCCTGGCCAACATGGTGAAACCCCACCTCTACTAAAAATTAGCCAGGCATGGTTGCACATGCCTGTAATCTCAGCTACTTGGGAGGCTGAGGCAGGAGAATCTCTTGAACCTGGGAGGCAGAGGTTGCAGTAAGCAGAGATCGTGGCACTGCACTCCAGCCTAGGAGACAGAGGGAGACTCCATCTCAAAAAAGAAGAAGAAAAGGAAAAAAAAAAAAAAAAAAAAAGCCAAGTCCCCATCCTCAATGACTCCACCCAAGAGGAATCACCCACTAAACTCTAACCCTGGACAAGCAAAGGAGAACTGAGGCTCATCTACCTCAAAGCAGAGAATCATAGTTAAATAAGAACCCCACAGAGCATGAAAGTTGTCAGAGCCCAGGCATGTAGTGAATAAAACATTCAAGGACTCAGGTACTCCAGGGTGGCAGAGGTGGGGTTTTTTCTTTCATCTTGATGAAAAGCATAATTCTCACCCTGTCACAGAACCAACACAACTATTATATCTTAACATTTTCAGAACTGGACTGATATACTTTTAAAATTCTATATTCCCTGTTGTAAAAAGAAATCCTTCTTCTTCTCTGGCAGGATGACAACTGACATCCTTCCCCCTTCCCCTGTCCCAGCCTGTTCCCATTCTTCCTTCCACAGCCTGGGACTGTGCTTCTGAGTTAAGGTACTCTGCTTTGAAAACCATCCCCCAAACACCAGAGCTGCCACTGACCCCAGTGCTGAGCAGAACTGGCCCCAGCCCTCTCCATAAAGCCAGTCAGTGGCTTCTTTTACTTTTACAAGCTCCCCAGAGTCCCGGGACTCACTCCAGAACAGCCTTGCTGGCAGAAAACAAAACTTCCCCTGCTCTGATCTCACTCTGCCATTATAAAGCATTGCCATTTCCTTGCTGGTTACCCTTGAGACATTTCCAGACCACAAACGCCACGGGAAAAGCTCCCAAAAGCAAATGTAAACCCAGGACTCCCTCAAGCCATCCTAGGCCCTATTTCTCCTGGTCCAGCAGAAGGAGCTGCCACCCCAACCCTCCCAGCAGCCTGGCAGGCAACTCCCAGGCAGTTCCCCATACAGCACAGACCTCTCCGGCCTCCCCATTCAAATGCTCCCAAGAGCAGCGGGCATGGGGAGAGGCCGGCATAAACCTTCCCAAGGACTTCAAAATTTCCAAATGATATTTACATCTCCGATGACATCAGTTTATCCATCTGAGGATAAAATTATCTGTCAATGCCAGCATGCAATCCCATCCGCTCCACTCTGCTAATTATAGCCTTCCACCAGGCAGCCGGCCACTCAGCTCTAGTGCAGGAAGCAAATGGCCCATCTGTCAAGCAGGACAGCCTCAGCTAAACAGGGTTGGGTGGGGTGGGGGGCACATGCCATGCCCATTTGGGGCCAAAGAGGGAAAGTGCGTGCTGCTGGCAGCACGCAGGCCAAGCCCAAAAGCCCAGGCTTTGTGAACCACGTGGCGTCTTCAACAGGCTGCAGAGGAGCCCTGTGGGCCAGGATAAACCAGGCCTGAAGGTCCCCTCTTAGCCCTGCATCCTGGAACCCTGCTTCCTCTTGTGCAGGGAGGGGCCCAGTTCCAGGCAGCTGCTGGGAAGCGGGAGGCTCTGTGAGGCATTCCAGCACCTGTGTCTCCTGAAGGAAGCATCTGGTCACCCATCCCGGCTGGCTCACCCCAGCTGGGGCAAGTCTGCGCTTAATGCTTAATGAGGACTGGCAAGGCCCATTTTCACCCCCAAAAGGCAAATACTAGGCTCTATTGTGTTCTAGGCCCCATATTACACTCCGTAGGCTCACAAGGGACCAGAAGACTATTGAGAAGGGAGAGGCTGGAGCTGACGGTCCCATGGATGGAATTTAGGGAGCTTTCAAACTGGAGACAGAAAAATCCACATCTTTACTTTTGTTTACCTCTAGCT